GTCTCGGTCACAACAGCGATGTCTACATTGTGGTGCGTGACAGTGTGGACAAATTCTCCAAATTTGTTTGCTAAGCTAAAAGCATTAGTCACCAGGAGGCGCATTGACTGGGTCGAGGAGGTAGGTGGTGCTGTGGGTGTTACATTATAGTTATAGTTCTGCATTTTTTTTTTTTTTTTTTTTTTCAAGTCACGATTAGGCTCTGGCAAGCGGACTAAATCGTGAGCCTGGAGCTAGATTTGTTGGTTTCCGGGAATCCTTCTTTTTCCCCCCAGTTGCCAACTCTGGTGAGGACTCAGTGCTGGCATTCCTACCTCGTCGTTCAGGCGTGAACCAAGTGTGGATCGCTTCGGTGTTGATGTTTGATGCCACTTCTGATAGGAGTCGCTCTGTCCGTTCTAGATCTCGCTCTGCAATGTCTACTTCGACGTCCGCGAGGGGAGTTCTGGGGTGTGCTGTCATGCTTGACAGCGATCCCTGTGCGGACGACATGTCTGGCTCAGTATCTGTCAGGTTGTTCAGCGCTGAAGTAACCTCAGTAGTCCCCTCATCGACTTTCGTAGTTTTCAAATTCAAATCCGTTTCGAGCACTTCAGTGCTGACTGCGGGTTCTCCAACATTTGACCCCACAGGAGTTGCACTCGTACTACATCCAGTACTCGAGAGAGTACATGTACTCGGGCTGGTGCTGGGCCTTCTGCTGGAGCGTGCCGAGTCTGGCGACTCGTTTTGGACTCCGGTCTGTACGGTAAGTTCACCAGGTTGCCCTCCGACAGTTGCAGTTGCGCTTGTTCTGGTGTGCGCGGTTCGCTTGGCGTATGTCGTTCCTGTGGCGAGTTTGCAATCTGCAGCGATGTGTCCCGGCTGGGAGCATTTACGACAGGTTGCAGGCTGGCCTTCGTAGCGTACACGAAACAAGTTGTTCGTAGATGTTTTCACATACGACGGAATCTGCATGTTGGGGCGAAGACGACGGCCGCTAACACCCGGTAAATCATAGCGGCAGATGCAGCGCCTAACGGGGGGGGTGAGTGGATAAGTCTCGCAACCACTGGCACAAGTGCCGAGAACGACCCCATTAGCTGCATCCATGTACCCCTTGTGCCTGGCCACAAGTTCCCAGTTGACTGTGGGTAGGCGAAGCGGATACCAGTGGCAATGGCGAGCCCTGACTTCGTCTTGACAAATCCATGGCGAAGAGGCCCAACGGCCGATCCAAAGACACCCAGGCTTTCGATGATAACGTCGTCCTGGACCCAGATAGGCACATCGTGAATTTGGATTTCCACGGAATCAGGCACCAGTTGAGTGACGCGCACTTCCACTGACATGAGATGGAAACCGTTTCGGCAAAGTCGTGACAGAGTGTCTCGGGAATGAAACGTGGCCTTGCAGCTCAAGTTACTGGTCAGCTGCACGGATATCAGGTCCGAGTAGCCATGTTCAATCAGGGCCTCAGCAACTTCGAGGGTTTTCGTGTGCAGTGGAACGTGGAAAGTCCCCGTGTTTCTCTTTAGAACTTTCGGAGAGACCGAATTCCAACTGCGATTTTCACCGGACGTGGGCATTTGGAACGCTCTAACTATCTACTACCTAATTTTAAACTATCCAGCCCCTACCCTGCTCCAGACCGGCCTGCTGCCGGCTGGCTCCTACAAAACCTGCGAAAAACTACGGAGCTCAAAAAAAAGCTAACTGCACTGCATTCCACAAATTACTTGGATTGTTTACATGAGGCGTTTCAGTCAAGAGTCAAGTTTCAACCCACCATGAACACAGATTGACTGGAGCGTTAACAAGCCGCATTGTGCTTGATCCGGGTTGAAATTTCAAACGGGGTGGATTTCAACCCTCCCCTCGGGGGACGATTGAAATCTAGAAATCTTACTACAGTACTTCTGTGCGTATCTCGCGCCAAGTTTGAACAGCACTGCACCGGAACATTTTACGCGAATGCTTTCACGTGACTATATAGGACTCTAGAAGTGGACTTTTGGCGGCATATCAGTATTTGACGGGAGTCAACTGTCTTGATGTGAACACCCACATATTTTTCCCTTGTACAGACTTTCAACCCGGGTTGAAAATTCTCAGGTAAAACAAGCCTACGGGCCAAAAAATTCTGCCCGCAGATTGAGTATCGGATTTTCTGGGGTGTTCCGCATTTTGAAATGCATACAAAAACTGCAAAATCACCCCTGCGGCTAAGACTGGGAATGCTAGGAATGACTACCAGCGCTACAGCACTCTATGCATGCATGGTGTTGTTCAGCTACTCTTCATGTACTGCAGACCATCATTATACTGGTGCAAAGCTCATCATTGTATATGTTGCCAGTTCTGAGTGAATGGCAAAGTAGACAATTTTGTAGAACTTCGGTCATGCCTCTCAACCTTTTAACCATTTTATGGTTTATGCTGATAATCATCTTAACGTTAAGTTGCCAAATCATTCAAAATCTGACGGGCGGGTGGCTTATACAGCGGATGACAATACAAA